TTGGGCCAAAGTAGATCTCAGATTGGGCGGCGGCATCTCGTGAGGGTAATTACTCGGGGGGGGACACGGCGCAATTAGCCAGCGAGCTGCTGTTTTCCTTTGCAACCTTGGACAGCTCCCGCCCTCCCGCACTACCCAGGCAGGGCGGTGAGGCCAGGGGACCGGTGTGAGCGGGGCGGCTGTCCGGCTCATGCGAGCATTTCGCGCCCTGCTCTGGCCTGGATCAAGAGGTGCAGAGGCTGCAATGGAAGAGCAGCCTTGGTTTGGGAAACCTCGAACATCCCAACACTTTTTTTCCTTTGCAACCTTGGACAGCTCCCGCCCTCCCGCACTACCCAGGCAGGGCGGTGAGGCCAGGGGACCGGTGTGAGCGGGGCGGCTGTCCGGCTCATGCGAGCATTTCGCGCCCTGCTCTGGCCTGGATCAAGAGGTGCAGAGGCTGCAATGGAAGAGCAGCCTTGGTTTGGGAAACCTCGAACATCCCAACACTTTTCATGGACAAAAATATTGATTGCTCCTGGCTGGAGAAGCAGGTATCAATCCCGCTTGCTAGAGAAACTGAGGCAAAGAGAAAACAATTCCAACTTGTGGCCTCATTTTCATAGGCTCCCCTACGGTCCGTCAGCAGACCTAATGGAGCTCCCTTGGCCCCAGGCCAGCTCCCAGCTCTGCTGGCCAGTCCCCTCCACCACAGCTCTGCTGCCCTGGGGCCATCAGGCTGTCAGCCCAGGGCTGCTGCAGTTCCAATGCCCAGGGTCCCCCAGAACTCGGTTGCCCCAGGGCCGCTGGAGCAGCCGCAGCTCTCAGGAACTGACACTGTTGCAGTTCCAAGGTGCTAGGGCTGCTGCAGCTCTGGGGCTTCACTCTTGAGGGCTTCTGGGTTCCATTTGCCCAGGGCTGCCACAACTTCTTGGGTCCAGGGCCACCAGGGCTCAGGGCATTAGGACTGCTATGGCAGCTGTAGCTGCACTCCCCTGGGCTGCCAGGGCTCCGCTCCTTGAGGCCACCGGGGCTGCTGTGGCTCCGCTACCCTGGGATGACAGGAGCTGCCATGGGTCTCCTGCTCCAGAGCTGCTGGGCTCCACTCCTCAGGGCCACCAAGGCTGCTGCATCTCCGCTGGCCTGAAGCCTCCTGGGCTGCCTCAGCTCCGGTGCCCCAGGACCTCTGCAGCTTCACTGGCCCAAGACTGCTGGAGCTACTGCGGCTCCGCTGTTCCAGGGCTACTGATGCCAGCCCCCTGGCCACCCAGCCGTCTGGGTCTAGGGGCTCTCTGGTCCAGCAATAACTGTGGTCCTGCCAGACCAGATCCGGCCCAAGCACATTGATCTGGCCCACGGAGGTCCTGCTACTCCCAAGCCAATCAGGGAGGAGGAGCTCTAAGCGCTGCATGCAAGAGGGCAGGAAGTGAGAGACTTTGCACTCCTCTTGCCCCATCTGCTCAGGCCAATCAGGGATTGGGGATGAGCGGAGCATGCAAAGTCTCTTCCTGCCCTGCCCTTCAAGGGGTTTGGCTCTGCTCAGCTGGTGGGTGACTTATGGGCAGTGCTCCCTTGCAGGGCAGGTGCAGACTTTGTGTGCTCCTCCTTATCCCAGGGCCTGATTGACCTGGAGGCAGGGGTGGCATTCAAAATTTCCTTCCACCACCAGGGGCATGGGTACCTAGAGTGAACTGCCAGCTGTTCAGAACAGCTGGCGGTTCTCTCTGGTGGAGGCAGGGGCAAAGACTTCACACGCTTCCCCCCTCCCAGACCAGTCCGGGTCTGTGGGCGGGGAAGCATGGGAGGGTCCTGGCTCTGCCTCTACCAGGGTGGCCCTGGGCCACTACAAAAATTTCCGAAGTGGCTCCAGTCAAACATTATTGCCCACCCCGATTTAGACAGACCAGCTGAACAGATAAAGTGCTTGAGAACATACCATGGGGAATAATTCTGCACTTTCAGGAAATTGAACAATGTAGACCTGGGGTCTGCAAGATTGCTAGAATTCTTTGAGAAGTAATCTTTGTAAATTTTGTTTTTTTAATTTCTGAGAATGAGTGGTCTGATTTTCAAGAAGTACCAAATCTCACTAATGTTACTGGTAGCTGAAAGTACCCACCACTTCTGAAATGTCAGGCCAACATCTTTTAATGAAGTTCTATAAATAGTAATGGGTTAACTCTGATAAAGTGGATTTGCATGAACTCCATTGCCATTACCATTACCAAGATCACAGTCTAGACCACAGTTATTTATATTATAACACTGGAGAGAACGTATGTTTTACATTACAGCTAAAATGGAATGGCATTGTATGGTACAATATGCTCAGCAGGTAACAAGTGCTCAAACTCAGACACTTGTTCTCTAATATAGTGACTGAAGTAATATCACAGGGTTTTTTGTGGTTGGTATTGTTTTATTGTTCAATAATACTGATTTATTTACATTCCTACTTTTAAATCCACAGTTTAGAACTCATACCTATGGCTTCAATTGTTTTTAGCACAAGATCTTTATGTCAAGTGTCAGAGAAAATTTCATTTCAAATCAGGAACTTGATATATCATACACACAATTTTCTCTGTTCTTAAATGCATTAATTTTTACTGCAAAGAGGTAAGATGATACAATCTTTCAGCCGCTTCATTTACCATGGATTCAGCTTATTTTTTCCTATTGTAAGTGGACCTTTCAACAGTCTTCAATAATTTGCTCCATTCTGTCCCCCACCATCTAAATTTAAAGCAAGAGTTGGTAGTTGACAATTATAAGCAAAAATATAAAGCACTATAGCATTATCTACATGGCTTTTTACTGCACTAGCTTCTTAAAAATTCTAGGAGCTTTGTGGAAGTTTAGTCAATTCTGAAAAGGCACAATACTTTCTGCACTCCAAGAACTCTAGTGACAACCCTTGTTGCCATCAGTCTGACATTTTCAAACTAGGCTGAAAGGCTGTTCAGATTAGGAAAAAAAAGTATATTGAGAATTGCTGCTACTGTAAGAAACTGCTGCTGGATGACAAATTTTCTAAGTGGGTCAATCAACTGTCCTTAAATATCCACACACATCAGAATCCCCATTCTCTAGCATGATACCATCTCTCTCGCTCTCACACACCTTTCATCTTCTGCTGCAAGTATATATCAAGGTCCTGTAAATGGGTAGGGAAGTCTCATTGACAGCAACTGCACAAATATGGGGCATGGTATAACAACAACACAGTCTATTCACAGCCAACTATTAAATTTCTCATAAAGCTGCTGACCTCTGGGATAGTTTTTGCTCCATGGTATTACATGAAAGAGGAAAACCTCTTTTTAAAGTAGAAGATGATTTTAATTGTATATGAAATATCCTCAATTTGGTCCACCTGTCTGGTTTCCTAAGGACAGCGATCCTGGAGAGCCAACCACTCTTGGTACAAAAATCAATGTAGAAATTAACAAAAATAAATTTGGTATTTCCTCCTGAAACTTTCACAGTGCAGTCATTTGTCCTAATCATCCACTTGTTCGTCTTGTGTGCCCACTATTTGTTGAGTTTTTAAATCTTCAGCTTGTTCATGATCTTCTTTAACTGTCTTCACATCACCTATTTCACCAGTTTCACTCTCTTCTAGCTCTCCCTGATTAATGTTTTCAGATGCTACTTGTTCTAGATCTGTTTCATCTATAAGTTCTCCCTGTACCTCTTCCATTTGTATCTGATTTACATGTTCAACATGTAGTTCCTCCACATGTACATCAGTACCTGTTTCAGTCTGAATGTGTTCCACTTCTACATAACTAATCTGTACCTGTTCTTGTAGGTCATCCATCTGTGCACCTTTTATTTGATTATCTTGAATCAGATCCGGATGCACTTGTTCCATGGTTACTTGTGCTGGATCTACTTGTACCTGAATTACTGGTAGCACGTGGACTTGCTCCACTTGTTCTATAATAGTCATTGATGTCACTGGTTCAGTTTCCATGGCTTCCACTGGAAGAATCTCATCTGTCACAATTCGTTCTGAAATGTTATGAATGTCATTGAGATGCCTTCTCAGTTCGCTGCCTTGCATAAACCACAAATCACAGAAGGTACAATGGTTGGGTTTGTCACCTGTGTGTATTACCAAGTGATCTTTAAATTGATCCCAGCTGTTAAACACACTATTACATACCTGAAACAACATGATGTAATATGTTAAACAATGCCAATAAAAATCTGATAAAGTACATTGTATATTCTGGATCAAGGTTTCAAACTGTTACCATGTAGTTCCTTGCTATTATGATTAAACAAGTTACATGGACATCAGCTAAAAGAAATCCAGGTTGTTAAAAAAAAAACTGGCAGAACTTGGGGTTAGGTCTAGGATTTACATTTTTTTAAGTGATTATATTTCAAGTTGCTAGTGCCTCTCTAAATCTGGCCTTACACATATACATAAAGTTGCAGACTACATTGACATGGATGAATTGAGGTGTTTTTAAATGTTCCTCAATTTGACAAAAATGTGCAATTCTTACACTGAATCCCTCTCCACCTTCAAAAATGGAGTCCCGTCTGGTAGCAGTCCCTGTCCACAGAGGGTCCAAGCTCCCCGGGGCCGGAGGCTGCTCCACCTCCCACAGAGCAGCCTTTGTCTGCGGAAAGCCTAGGCCTGCCATGGACAGAGGCTGGTTCCTGGCAGGTGGAGCACCCTCTGTCTCCACGGAGCTTGTACCCCCCAAAGACAGGGGCTGCTCCCAGACAGAGGCTGCTTTGCAGCAGCCTCCTCTGCCTCCCCTGCACCGGGGGTAGGAGGAGGCGGCACTTGTGCAGGGGGGAACCGACTCCTGCTCTTCACCTCACTGCCTCTGATACAGAGGGAGAGGGAGAGGAGGAGGAGGAAGAGAATACATGTAGTCCACAAGATTAACCTATAAGACTAGTCTTATACACAAAAACTACAATAAAAGAACACTGCAAAGTATTGACCAATATATGGTGGTTAACATACATATGTATATCATAGTATACAAAAACACATACATTAAGCATAAACAACATTAAGCACAGATTTTGTAGCAATTACATAGCCTCAATTTTCCCATAACACCTTGCATTAGCTGAAGTAAACTTTGGCTTAAATATATAGGAAAGTTGCCAGGAAGAGGGCATACAATTATTTTATCACAGCAACAGGTAGGCAGTTATTCTTGGGCCACTAGTGGAAAGAAGGAGGAGGACAAGACATATGATTGTTCTATCCTAGTACAAACCTAGAATGCCATCATGCCCTTTAATACTTGGAATGCATATGTTCAGAATAAAGAATTAAGGGGTACATCCCAGCATCAGAAAAAATGTGGCTGAAAGTTGACTGGTTAAATCTCGTCGTAGAGGATGTACACAGTAACTGGTTACTTGTAACCATGCAGGGTATAAAAAGGAAGCTTTAGGGAGCACACTTTCTGTGCAAGATAAATATAACAATGCTGCCCAAGGCAGCTTTCTGGAGACTAGTAGTGCATCAAAACCTTTTCCTGTACTGCATTCCTATTGGCTACTAGCAATAAACCTGAATGATATTGGTTATTTGGTCTCTTGACTACATTTCACAACAAAAACCAAAGAGTGGTCAAGTGACTATCAAAAAACCCCACATAATCAAAAGTTAGGAAATGCCAGAATTAAGGCTTACGTTTAATTCAGCTCCTCTGTTCAAATGTATTATGACACAGTCTTTAATTTCCACATACAGTAGACTTCCGATAATCCGGCACCTTTTGGACCTAGGTGGTGCCAGATTATCAGATTTGCCGGAGAATTGGGAGATCCCGCTACAGCTACACGGCTTAACAGCTGGTTGGGACACAATCTCTCTCCTCCCCTTTCCTTTTCATGTCTCCTCCCTGCTGTAACCTGATCCTCCTCCCCCTCTCTTCCCCCGACCCCTTCGCTGAAGCAAAACTCTCTTCTCCATACTGTAACATGATCCCACTTCCCCCCCAACCTTATGATCCCTCTGGTTACAGCCAGCATGTGTGCTGAGCAGCAGGCTTTTTAATCAGCTGGTCAGGAGCACTTGGCATTTTGATGCCAGAGTATCCGGAGTGCCAAACAACTGGATACCGAACTATCGGAGTTTTACTGTACTATGTTTACAACAGGACCCCCAACCTCATTTAGTGCAAAGGATGGACTAGTTCTGGAGATGTGTATAGTGTAAGATAATGTTATGTGTAAAACTTATCTAGCTTATTTGTTACAGAATTTGGAAGGTTTACAGTAAATAAGGCAGTAAAAGAAAAGATGGTATTATGGGTATGGCAGCTTAATGTTGCGTTTGTGAACTGAACCCGATCTCTGAGTATACCACTGAGTTTCTATGCAAAGCTGGGCAAATCACTTAAATCAGACTATTCACAGGTGGTTACTATATCCCTCCTTTTCTGGGAATCCAGCGTCATATCCTGAAGTCGGACTGCAGAAATGCTGAGCACATGGTGCTCCAACTGAAATCAATGGGAGGTCAGCTTTGAACAGGTATACAATATTAAACACTGTGAAAAGCAAGATCCTAGTAGCTTCAGATTGGGCATCCAAAAATAGTTGATATGATAGTTTTGGCCTTTATTTCTTTGCCTGAGCTGTAAAATAGGGATAGTACAACCTCTCTCACCTCTCAAGAGTGTTGTAAGATTGCTTCATGAACATAAAAATCTCAGCTATTGTAGTGAATATCATCAAGAATCCTGTAAAGAAATGTATTAATTCCATATTCAAAGCAGGGCTTGTTTGAACAATATGCAGTAAATAAGGCTGAGGATCACACACTGATACTAAGCCTAAATAATGAATAGCTGCTCATTAAGTAAGCAACAATCATTTTATGCACTGAATGAGGCAGAGGTCTTGTGGGAAAATTATGTGATCATGCAGTTCAAGATCATAATGCAGGGCTACCCAGGGGCCACAATGATACTCCTAGCACATGCCGAGGGCTGCAACTTAGGTGTGGTTGCATATACATGCACATATATGCAAATAGCTTCTTTCACACTGAGGAGTATGAATACAAAGATTAAGGCAAGACAACATACAACACATAGGCCCCATTTAAGTCAGTTCTGCAGATATTAATAAAATGCAATATTTACCCGATTTCCACCTATATAACAGTACTTTTAATGAGCAATGAAAGTCCAGGAATTTAATTACTAAAACTCATCTCAACAGAAGACCATTATATTGACTACTTTTTGTTTTTTGGCTCCTACCGCAAACAAATGGGCCATGCGTTGAGTAGCCCTATCATAATGCATATTCATATGGAGCCAATTAAGAAAGCATAAGCAACCTTGATTCTGGCATATCCTAATTTGTGAGTGCTTTATAATGTTTTTCGTAAGTAATATCAGCTAAGACCTTTGAGTATTTATGGCATTTTTACCTATATTACACATATAACATAAGACTTAGCAAGCAATGAATCAATAAACTGCGCTTCAAGAGGACAGCAGCAAAACAAAGGACAGCAACAAATGTTCAGTAATATGTAATGAGTTCAACAGGACTCTACAAGTACTTAGTGAGGTGTGTGGTTAAGTGCACAGGGCTTTGTTTGATGTATCAGGTAGGGATGTGAAAGTGTAGCTGTTTACATTAGCTGATGAGCCTCAGCTCATCAGTTACTCCTAACAGTTACACGCAGCCCCTCCTGCTGCCTCTGTATCAGAAACAGTGACAGGAGGCAGGGCAGATGGGAGCTGGTGCTCACAGGGAGCCGGCTTAAAAGCTGCCCTCCTCCACAGCACTGGCTTCTGTGGAGCCACCTGCCTCCCCCCACCCTCCGCACGTAAACGCACACTGGCTCCCGCCTGCTCCCCAGCATGTAAACATGTAACTGGTGAAATTTACAGCAGTTACACATTTACAAAATTAAATGTATTTTAACATTCATAGTATCAGGGGCTTGATCTCTCTGTCTCCTCTTCAGCAAAAGGATAATGCTTATAGTCTACCTCTCAAGAATTGAGATGAATAATAAAACGTTTATGAAACTACATATTAATACTCTTTTTTTAAAATGACACTTATGGATCCAGACACTTCTTGTTTGAATATTATGACAGGGGGGTAGAAAGGAGGAAAGAACTCCCTTAAAAATGTTAATAAAACAATGCCTTACTTTTATTAAGTTGTTACAAAGTTGATTTGCACATTTACTGAAAAATAAGCTGTAGCTACTAGAACTTTATAGCCAGGATGTTCGTGAATACAGCAAATATATACATTTAGCTAGGCATGTTACAAAATTTTAAACCTAATCAAGGAAATTCCAGAAGGTTTCTACTTCTACTTCTCAAGGACAAACAAACATCAAGCAGATAAACCTCAAACACACTTTTAGGAAGAAACCTAATTGTGTAGGGTGCACTATAAGAACCATAAAGCTAGGTTATAAAGTTAACAATGAAAACCTTTGCTGTTTCTTAATTAGGGGTGTTAAATATCGATTAACTAATTGAATAGTCAATGGAATTTCCATTGACTATTCGATTAGTCGATATTTCCACCTTTGAAATATACAAGAGCCCCAGCAGGGAGTCCCCTGCTGATCCTAGGCTCCACATGGCATTTCAGTCTTTGAAATGCACAAGAGTCGAGAGGAAGCACCACCACTGCACCCTTGTCCTGACCCACAGAGCTGGAAGGAACCAGCTTTTAAAATGGCTTCCCCCAGCACCCCTTCCTCTTCCCTCCCTTGCTGCCTCTTTGTGATAGAGGCAGCAAATACGGGGGGAAGGGGGAAAGGGAAGAGACTAGTTGACTGTCCAATAAGTTTTGCTTATTGGATAGTTGACTAGTTGCTTACATCCCTATTCTTAAGATGACTTAAGTATCTTTCTATATATTTTAAATTTCTGTATCTAAATGAAATTTTCATCCAGTAACTGCCTGACATTGTTATATGAATAGTAACATGTTTTATATAGAAATATAGGAAAGTCATTTGATGCTAAATTAATTGGTAATATAAGAAACCGTTTAATTATAGATTTTTATATTAGGGAATTAATTTATGGCAGTGCACAAGCAAACCAAGTGCGGAAAGAGAAAATAATCATTCAAAAAACTGTAGGTCAGCATTTAAGCTCAAGATAGTCTAAAAATATATGTCATTTTAAAAGCCTGTTTTGAGAACTAAAAACTTGTATACAAAGACCAGAGTGTTTAGAAATGTTGAAAACAGACTTTCATTTCCTAGCTAACTCTTAAAAAAAATCTCTGCAAAAATGGACTGAATGAAAAGAAAGGGTTAAGAGTAAACTAAAAAAAGGTCTTTTCTATCGCAAGAACAACTGCACTTAAATAAACGCAGCATCTTTAGGAGCTAAAGATGTAATCTAAGCCATTGCTGACGGCATCAAGCAAATCAAAAGGTGACAGCCAACCAACCTTGTATCTAAAACAACTCAAATAGGAGTTTACTACCATTTTGTTGAAATAGGAAGACAAGCATTCCAGAGTACTCCAAACACTAGAAAGTGAGCAGCCGTTAGTCACACGCACCCTTGGTCTCCCTAATCAAGAACAGCACAGTATTCCACAAGCAAATTGCCATGTACAGACAAGAAAAACAGAGAAGATTCAAGATGTAACCAACCCAAGGAAAATCTCCCCAAGTCTTGGATTGGTGAGAGGAATTTAACTAAGACACTGTCAAAGGATTTAATTTAACATTTTTGTGATGCTTTTGTTGGAATACTGAAATGCTATTGTCACTTAAATACTAGCAGTTCCTCACTACTCGAGTGGTTATACTGTGTGTTCCTGAATAGGAGACAAAACAGTGGGATTCAATTGCATTTTGGATTTTTAATATTCATAAGTGGCTTGTTTTAACACAACTCCTTAAATGGCTTATTCTAAGTAACTGATGTATATACTTTTTATAATTTCATAGAAAGTAGTTAGTATTGCTTACTTTGCTAACTGTAAACTGGTTAATTATTTATTAATAATAAAAAGGACACCTGCCCTGAAATATTTTTTTGCCTATTTAAAGACAGCGAATTAATAGATGGGGGCCCCAACTTCCAACACAATTGGGTCCTGGGGAAGCGTTGCAAGTCAAGGGCATCATAACTCGAACTTGCATTTACAATAGGCGCTGAGCGCTGTCGGGGGTAAGTTGGGGGTTTTACATCACTTCCGGACTTATGAAAATGGTCGTAAGTGCAGTGGGTCACAACTTGGGCTGTCATAAGGCGGGGGGTTTCCTGTAGTTCTAAGAAACAACATACTTGGGTCTAAGAAACAACATACCAAAGGCACCTCCCAGAAGTGGTTCACTCTCAAGGACATAATCTCTGTTAAAAGGTCTCTCTAAATAGACATAAAGTAGTCATTGTAATGGAAGTAACCACTTTATCATTCATGTTCACTCAATTTGAGTTATTTAAGGTTTCCTCACTCTTTGTTTATAATAAAATAGCCATGATTAAAAACTATGATGGCTTGAATCGTCTTAATAATGGTGTCTACTAAGTTATGCAAAAGAATACTGTGACTAAACAGTGGAAGCCACTCTCTGGTGCTGGCAGCAAGAGAAACAATTATTGAGAGCTCACCTGACTTCATTTCTTACTTCTCTAAACTACGCAATTTTAGTAATTTAAAAAATAAAATTACTTCGTATCCAACAGTTTCAGTTTCCCCTCCCCTGCCCGAAACTCTCCCCTCCTGTTGCTTTAATTACATACCTGACATTCATACAGCTTCTTTCTTCCTTTTTTAGCTCCAGCACCAGATTGACAGGCTGTCAAATGACATTTGAGCGTGCTATTTCTAGCAAAACGTTCATGGCAATTCGGACATTCAAATGGTTTTTCACCTGTTAAGACAGATAAGAATTTATAGACATAGAAAAAAAATCAGTTTTACTGGAGTTGGACTTTTTGCAGTTATATAAATTTTAAATAGAGAAGTGGGGTAAAAATATTTTAAATAAAAATTAAATAAATAATTTGTAGTAACTTGGTAAATATAATTTAAAGATTTGGATATAAGCTTTTAAAGATGTAAGAGATGTTCACTGGGATTGTTCTAATAGAAACAGCCACTTCATCTAATACTTTTTTTTATATAAACCAAAAGGGCAAAGAAAACAATGGCTGAGTTTGTTCATTTTTCCACTGCTTGGAATTACTATGAATTTGACATAACTAATAATTACATTTGAAATGGAAACACTCATTTTTATAAGGTTATATTCAAGTATTATCTTGATTTGCTGAAATGAAATATAAGCTGGAACTAATAACCATACAGAGTTCTGCATTACTCACTCATATCCAGTTTAATACATAGGCATATTCATCATGTACCACAAATTATGAAGACTGTTTTTTGTTTTAGAGTTACATGAAGTCGGTATGGATCCTCCTAAAAAATTGATTGAAACTTCCCAGAAGGAGATCTAGATGCTGTCATAGGCAATTTATTGACATCTCTCAATATGCAGCCATAATCAGAAAATAAGACACACTGAGAAGGCAGCAAAGAGAGAGAGAGAGTGTGAGTGAGAGAGAGTGTGTGTGTGTCTGTGTGACAACAGCAGCAACATATCCCACAATGGGTCATCCTAACCTTCAATGCTGCAGATGGTTTGGTCAGCTCATTTCCAACCAGATGAAGCAGAAACAATCCAGTGAAAAGCAGTGAATAAAAACATGATTAGAGACTTGCACAGCAGGAGAGATTGAAAAGATGGCTGTTATTTAGCATGGAAAGGATAAAAAAATTAGAGAAGCTAGGATTGAATATATAAATGAACATCAGCCTCAAAGAAGGTACAAATCAGGATCTCCTATTTGTCTCTCTCATCATACAGAAGTGAAATTATATGCATGCAATAAAGTTAAAAAGCAGAAAACATTAAAATTAAAATCAGAAGGTATTTTCTGAAACTCAATAGATAATTGCATGAAACTCTCTGACAAAGTCTAGTTTTCAATAGTTCACCATCAAACTAGAAAGATGTATCCACTGGGGTGCTGTAGGAATCTTATCCAGAGGCTGATAATATTCAATAGTTTCATTCATGACTTGGATAATGATGTTATGTTCTTATGTTCTTATGTGGAGAGTACATCTGCAGATGACACCAAGCTAAGAGAGGTTGCTAGCACTTTGGTTCAGGATTAGAATTCAAAATGACTCTGACAAAGAGCGAATTGGCATGAAATCAACACAATGAAATTCAATAAAGAGGAGTGCGAACTACTGCACTTGGAAGGAAAAATCAAATGCACAAACACAAATTAGGGAATAATTCATTAGCAACACTATAGCTAAGAAGGACCTGGGGATTATGGTGGCATACAAACTGAATGAGCCAACAATGCGATGCAGTTGTGAAAAAAGACTAAAATCATTCTGGGGTGTGTTAATAGGAGAGTCATACCTAAGAAATGGCAAGTAATTGTTCCACTTTACTCAGCACTGGTGAGGTCTCATCTGGAGTAATGTATCCAGTTCTGGGTACCACCCTTTAGGAAAGATGTGGACAAATTGGAGAGAACCCAGAGTAGAGCAACAAAAATTAAAACTGTTTTAGAAAAGAAAAGTTAAAACAAACAAGCATGTTGAGACTTGAGAAAAGAAGATTGAGAACTCGTAACAGTCTTCAAATAAGCTGACAGCTGTTATGCAATTGATCACTGTGATAAAATTGATCACAGTCCTCTATATCAGTGTTTCTCAATCTTTTTGATATGGAAGATTGTCCTGCTACCTTCCTAAATGGTGTCAGGGAAATCTGAGGGACCAATGCTGGTCCATGGACTGGTCACTGATATAGAAGACAGTGATTAATTGCTCTTGTTATCTTTAGAGGATATGGAGAAGTAATGGGCTTTATCTGCAGCAAGGGAGATGTAGATTAGATCTTAGTAAAAAAAAAAAAAAATTCTAACTGCAAGAATAATTTAATTCTGGAATAGGCCTCCAAGAGAGGTTTTGGAATTTTGTCCTTGGAAGTTTTTTAAGAACAGGTTAGGCAAACACCTGTCAGGAATGGTTTAGGTTTACTTGGTGCTGCCTCAGTGCTGGAGGATGAACTAGATCAGTGTTCTCAAATATAGTCATTGCATTGCAGGGTATTTTTTTGTGGCCTTGTGCATGGTGATTGAAGGGGGCAGAGAAGCAGTGGCCCCTCCCCAGGTTTGCCAACAGAGGCTGGGCCCTGCCCAACTCTGAAGACACAAGCTCTGGAGGAGCAGGCAGCAGGTGAGTCCCCCACTTTCCTGGGAGCAGTGGAGTCTGGCTTCATCCTTGCGGTGGTGAGCACCAGGAAGGCTGCAGGTTGTAGACACACAGCTTTGGGTTCCAGCCAGGGATCTTGGGCACTGCTGTGGGCCCCAGGCTCCATTTCCCAATGAGGTAATTGTGGGCTCCAAACCCTCCTCCATCTCACTGGCTCTCTCACTGCCTTCGCTGTCCCCAGACTTCAGCCATCTGGTAGGCAGGTTCTGTCCCCTGGGTACAGAGATTTAAGCTTGCCCTGGCCTTGGCATCCAGCCACAGGGCTTTGGGGTCAACTCTGGTATCTAGTCATAGGGCTTCAGGCTGGGGACGTTGGCATGGGGCTTCAGGTTCAGCCCCCAGGCTTGGCCTCTGGTCTCAGGCTTAGCCCCAAACTCCAGCCCCATGGCAGCAGGTGCTTGCCCTGAGCTCACCTCCTCATTGTCCCAGCAGCTTCTGGTTTCCCTGTCTCCCTCATCCATTCCTGCACAGCCCCTGATGCCTCCCTACCCACCTCCCATCCGGGGCTTAATTTTTCACCAGGGTTGAAGAGGCTGAGTAAGTCTGCTGTGAAACGTTATATTTGTATGTTGTTAATATCACTTTTTACCACAGACTTAGTAGCTTGCTGGGAGGCTGTGAAAATTGCTATAAACATATTTTTCAAAATAGGAGACTTACTAGCTAGCAAGTCTAAAAATAATAAGCAACCAAAAAAGCAATAAAAACAACAACAAAAAAGACAAAGCTCCTTATGTGTGTTTCTATTCTGTTTAGATCCAGAAGAAAAAAAAATAGAGACAATTGTACATTATTGTAACTGAGTCTGCAAAAAACTCCTACATAAATAAATTACAATAATTTGGACTTAATTTTAGAACAAACAAACAAACAAACAAGTATTTTAGGAAAAACTGTCAAAGAGGCCACCCACAGAAGTTGGTAGCCATACTCTGAGGCCACCAAAAATTTTGTCGAGATAATCCCTGAACTAGCTATCCTGTCAAGATCCCTTGCAGCCCTACATTCCTATAATTTGATAATTGAAGCACAGTGTTCAGTAAAATTCCAAAGAGAAATATACAATAGCATTTGCAGTTACTCTTGCTGGAAATGAAATTAAAATAACTATCAATTGTTTGGCAAAATATTCAAAAGCACTTAAAGTGATTTGGGAGCGCAAGCCCCAGTGAGCACCTAAATCACTTTTGAAAATGGGATTGAAAACCATAGTAAAATATTATTAATACAAAGAACATTAAGTACAAATACCTAAAAATAATAAAATCTTAATGCTCATAGAAAATTAAAATGAACTGTTGGAATCTAAGCTTCAGGGGTTAGCCAAGTTAGTCCGTACAGGACAAACTTAAAAAACAACAAATGGTCTGGTAGTACTTTATAGATTTACAAAACATGTAGATGGTATCATGAGCTTTCATGGGCACAGCCCACTTCTTCAAATGACCAGAGCTGGAAACTATTCACCATTAACATACAGGCAGTCCCCGGGTTACGTACAAGATAGGGACTGTAGGTTTGTTCTTAAGTTGAATCTGTATGTAAGTCGGAACTGGCGTCCAGATTCAGCCGCTGCTGAAACTGATCAGCTTCAACAGTGGCTGAATCTGGGCGCCAGTTCTGACTTACATACAAATTCAACTTAAGAACCCCAGGCATCCCCAAGTCAGCTGCTGCTGAAAAGTCCCCGGGTTACGTACAAGATAGGGACTGTAGGTTTGTTCTTAAGTTGAATCTGTATGTAAGTCGGAACTGGCGTCCAGATTCAGCCGCTGCTGAAACTGATCAGCTTCAACAGTGGCTGAATCTGGGCGCCAGTTCTGACTTACATACAAATTCAACTTAAGAACCCCAGGCATCCCCAAGTCAGCTGCTGCTGAAACTGATCAGCGGCTGATTCC